CTCTCTCTCTCTCTCTCTCTCTCTCTCTCTCTCTCACCTAATCCTGAATATACTTCGCTCCGCACTTAAACCAGTTCTTGAGTTTTGTCTTTTGCTTGTGATGTCTATTCTTAATGCGGATGTTTTGATGCAATGGTATGTTTGGGAAAGTGATGATCAAATTGCGGCAAATCTTAGCCAACAATTTATTAAAATGAGTGTCACATTTGGCAGACATCTCTTCAAACACACCGATGGCTGGATTTGAGTCCACAAACTCCGCGGCTTCGGTCGCTTCCACCGCAGCGGCGCTCTTGTCGTCGCGTTTGTTGCCCAACAGTACCACAAACGGCATCTCTTCGGCGCACGTGTTGTCCAATAGTGACAGATATTTCGACAAATTATCAAAGGATTGTCGACACTGTATATCATAAACCAATATCACAGTGTGTGCGCTCCGGTAACACATCGGCATCAATTGGATCACCGATTCTTCTTCAGACTATGGATTGCAAAAAGATTTTAATTTCATTTTTAAAAACTTGTTAACATATTTTCATTAGTAAATTGTAGTTAAGTCTCTAATACCTGTCCACTGGTGTCCCAAAACTCCATAATAACTGAGCGCTGATTGATTTTGACAACTGTCGAGCTATACTGAGCGCCCATTTGGTGACCACTGGTCGCCGACTTTGGGAACGGGTGTCCGCACAGGCGCTCAATGAGGCACGACTTACCGACGCCCCGATCGCCCAACACTATGGCCTTATATCTAAGCGTCGACTTTACAATCGGTGTCAATACATAGCGTTTAATCATACCGTCAAATGTCTTGGAGAACAGTTCGGCGACATTAATGTCCACTTTAGCCGAACACTCGACAAACTCGACATTCTTCCGGTTCGCGAACTCCAGACCCTCCCGTCTGGTCACGTGTCGGGCCTCCCATCGGTCCCTCAGATCCAGTTTATTGCCCACAATTGCTATGTATTTAATTATATTTGAATGCTCTCTAATTGCGTTAATCCAGTAGTTTGTCCGCTCATAAGAGGCCCTATCGCTCACATCATAGACCTAATTATCAGCCAAAGTTTCATTGCGGTATATTAATTAATTAATTGTAATTACTATCTCATTTAATTATAATATTTTAATTTATATGATATGATATTGTGATAATTTTTCTAAAAATAAGTTTTGATATATAGATAAAGGATAATATTTTTATTTTTTTTGAAAACAATTATTTGCTGTGAAATAAAAAACATGATAAAACATAAGACTTTTAGCTAAAGTCTGCAAAACATGTCTAAGTTTTTACTGATAAGACTCTTATTGTTTAAGGAAATTAGAC